ATTCAAATTTTTCTTTAACACTATTTTCATTAAGAAATCTTTTATATCCATGAAGTTGAGTTACCTGTTTAAGAAAATTTTTTACTTGTCTCAAAACCTCAGTAAAAATCATAAAATTTTTATAATATGTCTCATCCTGAAATTTTTTTAGATTCTCTTCTTTTCTTCGTTGTAAATATTCAACTGATGATTGAGCAGCTTTTACACGATCAAGAAAAGCATTGCAAATTTTTTTATTATATTGAGCATTTTCATAAATATCAATTATCCTCTCCACAAAATCAGTTACAATGCCTATCAGTGGAAGAAATGGTTTAATAGCTTCACCAACTGTACCAACTACATTAGGTACCTGTTTAGTTGCTTCTAAACTACTAATAGTACTCATTGAAGAAACAGTTTGACTAACTTCTACTCCAGTAGTTAAAATATCTGTATCTGCAAAAGAGCTTTTTTATTTCTATCGTGTGACAAATTATTATTATGATTTTAGCGAGTTAAAATCCTTTTATGGATAGATATGTGTTACGCGTATTTAATAGTCAATGCTTTTCTTAAAATGTAAAAGAATAGATTATTCACACCCTTATCTATTATTATCATCAGAAAATCACAGAAATTGATTGGTATATTATTCTGTTTAAAATATTCCTTTTTTTATAAAATATTAAACGAATTCATTATTATTATTGATATTACTGTATATAACAGATTGTAATACTAAATCCTATTACTATAATAATAATAATAATAATATAATAATCCCTTAATAATACTAGTACTAATACTAAACGGCCAGAGTATTCTTTAATGGTAACGCAAAATAATTTTTTGATCACGTCTTACATTTTGATGACCAGAAAAGTAAAAATGGACAATCAACCAACATTTAACAAAAACCACAAGGCAACGCCCGAACTTTTTTAGAGACCGATCTGCTGTATCTCAAAGATCATTTTCATATTAGGAAGTATATGCTTAGAGAAAATTTTATATTCAATTTTTATCAGCCATCAATACCAATTAACTACATACTTATCAAATAGACCTCTGTTTAAAATTAGTATATAAGTACTACATAACATATACTTCAAAATAAAGGTTTTAATTTTTTAATTTTTTGTTTATAAAAAAAAGTTGTATGCAAAAAAAAGGTTTAAACAAAAATAGAAAAAAATTTTAATAAAATTTTTAAAAATCTAAAACCTTTAAGTGGAAAAATATGTTCCAAACTTTTATTTGATACTAATTTTATAACTCTAAAAAAAGAATTGGTGGACTAGATAGATTTTGAAAATTTCGTAGATATATATATATATTAATATGAAATCCATTTTAGAAAGATTATCAAACGCATTTTTTCGAAAATTCCGCAAAATCTTACATAATGACTTTGTATGAAATTTACATTATTTGGTAGCTCAGGTTATTATGATCGTGAGTATAAAAATTAGTGTTTTTGTATATCTGAAGCTTTTTTAATGAAATTAGTTACACGTGATGAAATTAGTTACAGGCGATGAAATTAGTGATGAAGAGAATTTTGGAGAAGAAGCTGCAAAAGCAATTGTAGGAGAATATTTATATTATTTATTTGTTAAATTGATCTGCATTTTCCCAATAAAAAATCCTCACATATGATTTTTTATGTGTGCTCAACTATGTTTGTGTTTATGCTGATATGTAACACCCATTGAAAAAGTAAACTTGTTTGTTGAACATCACATGATTTATTATCAAAATTTTTAGCGGGTGTATATATAAATTTTGAAATGGATGGATGTTGTTATAAATTCTGATCTTCAGTAACACAACGCAACACTATCATTCATTCTATATTAAAAAATTTCTTTTCACAATGCGGCCTGTTCCAAGTGTCCCAAGAGAAATGATTGATGAAATAATCAGGAAAAAAAAATTAGAAGTGGCCGCTCGACAAATAAGTGTTGAAGAATTAAACAATAAAGAAAAAAATGATAAGAAACAAAAACAAAAACAAAAACAAAAACAAAATAACAACAACAATAATAGTAGCAGTAGCAATAATAGTAATAATTTGTTAAGTGGACCTTCATTGTCAGCCCGTTTTGCTAATCTAATTGGAATTTATTCAGGTGATGATACTTCCACTACTACTACAACAAAAAATGATAAAAAAAAATCAACAATTTTATCAAAAAATAAAGTTAATGATAATGAAGAAGGTGAAGAAGAAGATGATTACATTAAATCAATTTCACATAAAAATATTTTAAAAATTTTAAATATTGATCCAAAAGAAATAAAAATTGATGATGAGGATGACGAAGATGATGAGGATGAAGAAGATGAAGAAGATAGATCAATAACCACTGCCACCAATACTAACAATAATGCTACTAAAACTAATACCAAAAACGACCCTAAAAATTCTAAAAATAATCCTAATGCTACCACCACTACTAATGAAACCAGTAATTCAGAGAATAGTCCTTCTATAACCATTGACACAAATGTTAATCATGTGATTCATAAAGAACAACGATACATGACCAGATCACCTGCTTCACCACGTCTAATTAAAAAAAGAGCAATTATACGTAGAGCAAATTCAAGGATTGTTCCAGTTCATACAAAATACTCATCAGAAAGTTCAATTGACTATCAAAGATCCAATAAAAAAAATGAGGAGAAAACTGATGAGATATCTAATGAATTAGAAGTGATTAATACCCAGTTTCAAGAAACATTGAATCAATTCTCAAAAAGGTATCAAGATTCTACTGTGGCACTTGCTGAGAAGTCACATCTTCTAAAAAGGAATCAAGAATTGATGCATGCTATTGCATCTAAAGAAGCTGAAATAGAATATTTAAAAGGTGAATTGTGGGAAGCAGGAAATAAAATACAAAATTATGAATTTGATATTAAAGATTTGATTGAACAGCAACATGAACCATTGGCTTTAACACATGAGGATTTGTCAAGAATTGAAAGAGAAATTGATGATAAAGAAGCTTTAGTTTCTAGTTACCAGCAAGAGAATGATAAATTAGTTAATGAATTGAAGAAAATGAATGAACAATTTAGGCATTCTGGTAATGAACAAGGAAGTCTGTTAAATAGAGTTAATGAACTTTGTAAAGAAAATGAACAGTTAAAAGAACTGTTTCAAGAAAATCAAGTAGTTGTGCCAGGTGAAACTATGCAACAAATGGAAGAGATGAAAAAAGAAATTGAAAAATTAAAAGAAAAAGAAAAGACATTGGAGTTTAAGGAAATGGCACTTAAAGAAATGGAAGGATTGAAAAAAGAAGTGAGTGATTTGAGAGATAGAGAAACAGAAGATTTTATTAAAATAGATGAATTAGAGCGAAAATTATCTGAAGCAAATGAAGAAATTGAACAGATTAATTTTTCTAAAACAGCATCATTGGAGAAACTGACAGAAGAGATGAATATAATGAAGTATACATATGAGTCACAAATAGAAAAAATTAAAAAAGAAGCTAATTCAAAGGAGGCACGTGAAACTAGATTTAGGAAATTACAGAATGCACTTGATAAGGTAGAAGATATGGCTAATAATAGTTCACCAGAATTTGAAAAAATATATAATGATTTACGAAGAATGCGACTTTTGCAACCAAAGAAAAGGCGTAAATCTGTTACAGATATTACTAGTAGTAAAGATTTATATGGATATAGCAAAGAACCTCCTAGGTCTCCAACAACAACAGCAAAATCCTTAAAAAGATCTACATCACAATCATCTATTGGTGCATTACCACGTTCAAATGTTAGTCGTACAGCAAGTCCAACACCTTCAATAGTATCAAATATTAGTGCCAAGAGTGGAAGGACAGATTTAACAGAAGATGAGGCAATTCAAGAATACATTGATGAATTGAATGATAAAAATACCAAATTAGAAGATGAGCTTAGAGAAATGAAAGAAAAATTTGAGAAAGATTCAAATATATTGAATGAAGATAAAAGTAAACTTGAGGAAGAAATTGAAAATCTTAGAAAAGAGTATAAAGTACAAAAAGAAGAACATGACCGTAAAATGCATGAAATGGAAGAGTTGTTGTTGGAGATGCCACCAGATGCAACTGAATCCAGCTCTACTGCAAATGTTAGCAGTCCTGTGCCACCACAACCTATGCAATCCATTACTAACTTATTAAATGAAATAGAAACCAAACAATCAATTATTGAAGAATTAGTAGCAAAATTAAAAAGAAAAGAGGAACAATTAGAATATTATCAAAATGCATATCTTTTAAAGACAGAAGAATTTGAGGATTATGTTGAAAAAACACAAGCAGCACAAAGTATAGCAACCACCAATACCACAACAGCAACAGTAATTGGTGATAATGTGAATGGTAACAATCCTCCTATTGTTACCACAAATAATAATAATGGTAAGGTAGCATCAATTAATAATAATAATAACAATAATAACAACAGTAAAAGTGACATTGAAGATTTATCATCACTACCTATTACCAGTGATATTATGGATTTGTTTGGAATTCTTGGAGATAATCAAGAAATATCAGCTATTGAACAGCTTATAGCACAACTGGAAAGAACTATAGTTGAAAGAACTATGCAACGAGATGCAGCACATCAAAGAGCAACAGAAGCAGAAGCAAAATTGGTAGCATTGTCTAGAGAAAAAATGAATTGGGGAAGTGGATATGACACATCAGTTAAGAAATTAAAAGTACAAGTTCAACATTTACAAGAGTTATTGCAAATGGAACGAAAAGCAAACATAAGAAAATTAAATCGTGAGAACAATAGTAGTAATAGTAATGATGACTTTGATGATGGGCAGCAATTGAATATTTCTGGCGGCAGCAGCAACAGCAGCAGCAACAGCAACAGCAACAACAACAATAATAATGGAATGCAAACCCCTCCTCCTTATTCATCTTCTTCAACTGCTACTGCAATTACTACTACTGAAAATAAAAACAATAATAATAATTCATCTAAAACACAAATGACAACTACTACAATGATGAGTGCAACAACAACAACAACAATAATTATATCAGAACATGAAAAACTTTGTAATCAGATTGAGTTTTTAACTAGAGAAAATATTAAGTTGAAATCGGAACTAGTTATTTCTGAGGAGATTAGAAAATTGACACATGATAACACATTAAAAATTTTACAAAAAGCAAACAAATCCAGTTTAATAATAGACAATAGTGACATAGTTGAAATAAAAAAATCAATCACTGATAAAGAAATGGAGATTAACATGTTGAAAGGAAAATGTATAGGACTTGAAAGTGTGATTAAGAAGCAACGTGAATTGTTAACATCAATTATTCCGTCAGTTTTTAGTGGTAGTAATGATGGTGGGTATTCATTAAAAAATGTTAACAAAGTTCTTTCCATTGGAAAGGAAGAGGAGGAAGTTGATGATCCTATAATAGCTGAAGAGGTAAATGAAAACATGTTGAAACATTTCAATCAATTAAAAGAAGAAAATACAATATTTAGAAAAGCATTCAATTCATATAAACAACAACAATATGAACAACCAAATCAAAAATATAAAACTAGCGGTACTAATAATAATATAAATTCGTTAACAGTTGGTGTTCTAACATCTAAAGTAACAGAAATGGAAACACAATTATTAAATCGAGAAAAGAAATTACAAGAAGTTATTGATGAGATCAAAAGACGTGGTGAAGCACAAATAGAAAGGTTAAAATCAAAATGGAATCTCAATTCATAAAATTGTACATAATGATATGGATGGTTATAGATAGAAGGAAGGAAAAAAATGGCAGAAATGAGAGATAGATAAAATAGAAAGAACATTATTAATATCTTATTTATATAACCAGAACATTTTTGTAAAAAGTTCTTTATTATATTTAATTAATTAAATTTTTTATTATTGATATCATTCATCATATTTTATAATTTATTGTTTTTTTTTAGATGTAAATAAATATTTTTTAATATTTTTTAATATTTTTTTGATTAAACTCTTTCATGTCAAAGCTCTTTATATAAACTTTATGCAATTCTTTTGTTGGGATCATAATTACTTGTAGGTTGATAGTGATTGCATCGATTTATTGTTGTGATAATATGGATGGCTTATTAGGTGCTGACATACCCCCCACCTCAGGTAAAGATATCTTGAAAAAAGAATCATAATATTTCCACTGATAAATTAAAAAATTTTCCTTTGATACATACAATATAGTGTATTTGGGGCACATTGCAACAAAACCAACAAAGTGAACATTTGCACCACTAAGGATTTCAGGGATCAAATTTTAGTCATTTGTAATGTGATCATAATCAACAGTTTTATAATGTCTAATGTCCCATTTGTTAAGTGATATGTAGAACTACCCCTATATAAAAATAGTTAATATGAAACTCATTTACATTAGATCTACCATGAAACCAAAAAAATTACAGCATCATTAGAAGTATTTTAAAAAAGGAACAAGGTGAAAAAATTGCTCCTTATATTTTAAAATAAATGATACTCAGGCAATTGAAGCTTATCTAAGGAAACTTATGAAATTTACCAAGAAGAAAGACAAATAATAAATGTTAAAAAAAGAAAGCATCATGATGATGCATTATTACCTAAAAATCTTTGAAAGGAAATAACTACCATTTTCTTTGATAGTTGGAATTAATTTCAATTTATACAGAGGAAAATTTCTTTAATCTTTTTTAAATTACTTTCTTATTTTCAATCAAGGTCATTTCTTAGTTTCTTTAATTTCGATTTGAGCAATTTGTCCATTCTGTTGATCTTTTAATTCCCTGTTTTCCTTCTAAACTCTTTATCTTATCCAATAACTCTTGTTTCCGTTTTTTACTTCATTCTTCAGATTTTTCCTGAAACTTAGCTATTTCCTCTCTTTCAATACTTAACTCTTCTTTGACAGTTGATAACTCCTTTTCTAGTTCTAGTTTTATTCTCTAGGTAATAACTAAAAGTTCGAGAGACTATTTCTTCCATATAGAGTAATTGGTTTGACCTATTTTCTAATAGATTACAAAAGCAACCTTTTCTGTTCCTCTTTAGTCTTCCACAAAGTTTACAGTGAGGAAGAATGTCATTTTCTAATTCTTCTTTGCGATTGCCACAAATATAAGCTATGTCAACATAATCACCATTGTCTTTAAATGTTGCTAACTGGTGAGTAGCAACATTAAGAATTAAACTGTATCCAGAATGAAAATCTAGTAAACAATAATTACAATCTTGGTTATCTTTTTCCACTACCTCAAGAATTCTATATTCTAGTTTCACAATTACTTATTCTTTTGTAAGATGTAAGCAATTAAACTTTTCCTTAACACTTTCTTTAATTGTATTAGTTTTTTCTTTTGCTGTATTTACCAACTTTCGAAGTTGTTGAAAATTCTTAATTTTAGGTTCAGTTAATTTAACCAACTTAGTCATTCTTCATCCTTAGTTTCCAAATACTTTTTCAATTTTTCTATAATCATTTGCTGGTCGAAGATGAAAACATCCTTTCTCATGGCTACTTCGAAGACTTTTTGTTCATGTCATTCATAAGATTTTTCTAATGCTTCTAAGTTAGAAGTTAGTTTCAACTTCAATTTCTACTCTGTCTTCTAATTATTCTATTTGGTTATCTTTTTCTTCTAACTTTGCTTCTAATTCTTCAACCTTCACTTATTTTAGCAAATTTTTTATCAGCATTAATAACTAACTCATTCGAAACACCAATTAACTCATCAAGGGAAAGATCTCTAAGGTCATAATAATCATAACAACTTTGTTTGATTGAATTTCATCCTTCATATCCTTTTTCTATGATTCCTTGTAGAGTTAAATTATCTTCTATTTTGCCCTTTCTTAATCACTTTCTAAATAGCTCTTTGCTCTCTTCAGAGTTTAACTTGATAAGGTTAATAAAAATATCTCTTTTAGCCTTATCTCTTACCTGGTAAAGTTTACTGTTTGCTTATAATAAGGATAATATTGACAAGTATTAAGAATTACATGCCTATGAACTGGTTCAGTAGAAACATCTTACAAAAACCAGATCACTTTTCCTGGTCACAATAAACTCTCATAATTTCACCAACTACATCTACATCAGCCTAGAATCATGAAATTCAATTCAATGCTTTCATAATAACCACAAATTACTAGATATAAATAAAATCAAATATAGTGTTATTTTTGTTTTGTCCACCAGCATTATCACAAGTAATCATTAAATGCTTTTCACCTTTATTCAATTTTTTAATTCCATCAAAAATCATACCAAGTGTGCCATTAGGACCTTTTCCTATAATTTCATCTTCATTAAGAACATAATTAATTTGTTCCCTTACTGTTTCATCTTGAATACCAAATAAATGAACTTTACATGGACTAAGATAAATTTTACTTACTTGTTGATCTAAATGTGACATGTGAACATTTTGGGCTCAATCATAACTATAATGAGTAGTAGCATCAGTACTAGAATATTGTGTTTTACTCTTTGAATAATGTTGATCAATCAGTTTTCTTTGTTCTTCTGCTAATTTGGTGCTTTTATTATAATAATTTTTTTCTAATTTGGCCTTGGACAAATGTTCTTTAAATCTTTTGAGTAAATCTTTAGCTTCTTCCTCTTGGTGAGCATTATAATGTAAACCAACTCTAAAATGTTGACAAGTATCACACAAATCGGTCCTTAGACTCATAATTTGAATTTCTGGTGTCAATTGATGTCATAATTTTCTGAAAGCATCATATTTTAAGGATTTCAATTTGTTATCTTCTTCCAGACCAGCTAGAAAATTTCTATGCATTGATTTATAACTCATTTCAGCTGGTAAGAATACAATTGATTGAGTTATTCTATTGTTACTTCTTCCTGGACTTGGTAATCCATGAACTTCTGCATAATTTTCTAGAAAATTCTTTACTACTTCAGCAACATTTTTATCAATTACCAATTTTAGTTTTCCATTGAGACATTCTTTTTACATTGTCATTGAACTCTTGGTAAAAGAACATGGCTTGTTAGGTGATTTGTGATATTTTCAAAGTAGTTTCTACCAATTCCTAGCATATTGAGATAAGTTTTTTGACAAAGAGGTGTGTTGTGATCCCATCAATAAAAAGTTCTTTTATTTCTTTTTAAGGTGTCTACTAGTGCTTATTGATCCACCACCCATTGCTTTGATCCATGCCATTAAAAATGTTTTGTTCAGACTTGGAAAGAGCTTGAAAGGATTCCCTTAATTCTGCAAATTCTTCTTTGGGAATTCTTGAAGAGCAACCACAATCACAACCTTTTTCTAAAAAATCAATGGCTTTTTCATATTCATTAGAACCATTTATTTATTACTTTTCATATACACTTATCCCTATATATATAATTTTATAATTTTATGTTCACTTTGTAGTTTTTTATAATTG